CTCTCTGAAATCAATAAAATATATTTTTAAAAGTTTATTTTTAAAAATACTTCTTTAAAAAATATTGAAATATAAAAGTTAAACAGAGATAAGTTTCACATTATTTATAGGTGACACCCTAAGATAATCACTGCAAAACTACTACCCTATATAATAAAACCCTTATATGCAAATCGACTGAATGGTGGAACTACTGGTTTACCCTATATAATAAAACCCTTATATGCAAATCAACTGAATGGTGGAACTACTGGTCACTATGACGCGCACTGACTACCAGGAGGCAATCGCTCAATGCAGGAGTTGCCCCGGTCAGTGCGCTCCCACAGGGGGAGCACTGCTCTCCCGGTCAGTGCACTCCCACAGGGGGAGCACTGCTCAGCCAGAAGCTGGGCTCATGGCTGGCGAGCGCATGACAGTGGCGGGAGCCTTTCCTGCCTCTACTACAGGTGGGCAGTAAGGAGTGAGGGGTCCAGGACTGCAAGAGCCCCGGCCTGCGAGAGGGATGTATGATTGCCAGCCCGGGGGATCGGGCCTAAGCTGGCAGGTGGACATCTCCTGAGGGGTCCCAGACTGTGAGAGGGCACAGGCTGGGCTGAGGGACTCTCTCCTCCAGTGCATGAATTTAGTGCACCAGGCCTCTAGTACTTAATAAGAGAATTTAGTAGGTGGCTAAGTAGAAAAAATTAAAAGATAGAAAAGATCCCCTTCTATAACACAGAGATACAGCACCTGTGAATGAATGAACTTAACAAGAAATACTCAAGATCTATATTTTTAAAAATTAAAATATTACCGAGGGACACAAAAGGAATCAACAAATAGGAAGGAAAACTATGTTCTTGAAAGGAAGACTAACACTAGGAACATGTCAATTCTCTCTAAGTAATCTAGATGTGTAATGCAATCTCAATACAAATACCAATAGGAGTTCTTTGGAGGGGAGTACTAGATAAGTTGATCTTAAAGTTCACATGAAATAAGAAATAAGAAAATATAGTTAGGAAAATTTTGAAAAAGAAGATTAAAAGGAGCTCAAATAGATATTAAAATATAAAGCTAAAATAGTTGAAAGACTGTGGTGCTAACAAATTAAAAAAAACAGAGGGAAGAGGATGGAAAATCCAGAAGTAAATTCAAATTCATACACAAATTTGATTTATAATGGTAGCATTTCAAATTAGTGAAGAAAAAATTATTGTTCAATAAATGATTTGGGATAAGATAACATTAGGAAATTGTCCAGTGAAAATAGTAAGAGATATGAATAGTTATTGGAAAATAAATTACAAATGACTCTTTAACATATGAAAATGTTCACTCACAGTGAAATAGAAAATTTCCCTCACAATAAGAAATGCAACTAAAGATTACACTGAGATAGCATTTTTCATCTTTCAGATTGACAAAGATTAAAATGTTTGATAGCACAGAAATGTTGGTATTTATATGTGGAAATAGATGCTCTTAAATATTGCTGACATTCAATCTAGGTGGAGGACAATTTGGTAATCTTTATCAAATATTATATGACCTTTGACCCACAATTTCATTTCTAGCAAAATTTTGATAGCAATACTCCTACATGTGCAAAACTACAGTTTATTAGTATAGAATGTAATAGATTGGAAATGAATTTAAAATCCTCAAAGGGGCCCTAGCCGATTTGGCTCACTGGAGAGAGCGTCGGCCTGGGGACTGAAGAGTCCCAGGTTTGATTCCAGTCAAGGGCATGTACCTTGGTTGCAGGCACATCCCCAGTAGGGGGTGTGTAGGAGGCAGCTGATCGATGCTTCTGTCTCATCGATGTTTCTAACTCTCTATCCCTCTCCCTTCCTCTCTGTAAAAAAGTCAATAAAATATATTAAAGAAATAAAATAAAATCCTCAAAGAGATCTAGTTAAGTGGTGGAGCCATATAAATGAGATACTATGCTGACATAAAAAAAATTTTTATAAGTCTTGTGACAGTGATATGGAATTATGGCCAAGCTATTTTTTTTTTAAAAAAATATATTTTTATTGATTTCAGAGAGGAAGGGAGAGGGAGAGATAGAAACCTCAATGATGAGAGAGAATCACTGATTGGCTGCTCCGGCATGTGTCCTTGACCGGAATCAAACCCAGGACCCTTCAATCCACAGGCTGACGCTGTATCCACTGAGCCAAACCAGCTAGGACTGGCCAACCTATTTTGATAAATGAAAAAGGCAAGGGGAAGAATATACAGAGAACATGCTACCATTTGCGGGGGGGAGGGGTGGGTGGAGAGGAACGAAATATATATGTATATATATTCTGGAATGTGCATAAGTTACCTCTGGAAAAGCATCAGAAACAGTCACATTGGTTGCTTCAAGGGAGAGGACCATGGTAGTTGAAGGAGAAGACTGAAGAGACATTCCACTGTTTACTGTTGGATACTTTTTGGATTTTGAACCATGTCAATAAATTATTTGGCCAAAAAAGGAAACAGATAAAATTAAACCTAACTAAGGCGAGGAAAAGTTGACTGACTGTGATGTACACAAAGGAGGGTTTGCTTTTCTCTCAGAAAAAGAAGCCCAAACTGACTCGTTCAGCTGCTCAAGGATGCCTCATTCTTTCTTTTCTCCCAGGACCGCCGTCCTCGGAGGATTGGCTTTTTATCTCCATGGCTGCTTCCTTGTGACAGTAAGATGGCTGCGTCAGCTCAGGCTCATGTCCTCAAACAAACATCCCCTGAACAAGAAAGAAAGGACAAGGAAAACCAAAAACTTTCCCCTAATGATGCCTTTTGTCCTAGGAATGAGACGTTTCTGTACTGTCATTGGCCTGAAATGGATCCTAGGCCCCATCCTAAACCAATTCCTGGCAAAGGGGAATCGTTTTTTGCTGGCTTCTAGAGGAAGGGCCGCTCCTCCTGACATCATGGAATGTCTGTATTGGTACAGAGAAGGGGTTCTGTTGCTAGGGAAGGTGTGGAAGTCTGCTGGGTAGGTTGCAGAAAGACTCCATTACAGCTGCCAATGTGAACCACCCCATCTCCTGAAGAAGAAATTCTTAGTTACCAGGCCTGTCTACCCCGACATATCCCACTGCTGCCACTTGACACAGTTAAATCCATCTCTCTCCTGGGCTGCTGGCGTGGCCTCCTCCCTGGCCTTCCCGTACCCATGTTCACATTGCTGGATTCAGTATTGGCTTTTTGCTCCCTGTGATATCGGAGTGGGGTTCTCAAAATTAATATATGAGAGGCTACCTGGATTCAGGCTTAATTATGCCATTATTAACTACTATTGCATCGGGTCCCATCTTCCTAAGGCAACTGTCAAGAGGCTGTCTTCATTGATTTTCTATCTGCTTTCATTCTAGACAGGAGCTCCTCAATCTAACGCGTGCTCCTGGAGTCTGTATGAATTCGACCCTGGTAAGACAAGCATGGGCAGCGTTATGGGCTGAGTCGTGTCTCCCACAATTCAGACGTTAAAGTCCTAACCTTCAGTGCCTCAGAATGTGACTGTATTTGGACGTAGGGCTTTTAAAGAAAAATTAAATTTAAGTGAGGTCATTAGTGCGGGCCCTAATCCAGTATGACTGGTTTCCCTATAAGAAGAGGAGGTTAGGACACAGGCACACACAGAGGAGGACCTTGTGAAGATACACAGAGAAGAGGCCATCAGCAAGCCAAGGAGAGAAGCCTCAGAAAAAACCAACTCTGCCGACACCTTGATCTTGGACTTGTAGCCTCCAGAACTGTGAGAAAATAATTTTTTTGTTGTTTAAGCCTCCCAATCTGTGGTACTTTGTTAGAGCAATCGTAGCAGATTAATACAGGAAGGTATAAATCTTACATTTGAATGGTGTTACGTAGAACTCTGTCTTCGCACCACTTTCTAAAAGTGTTTTTCCTTTTATATTGTTGACAGTGTAGAAGAGTTGTTTTTTATCTGAACACATGGGAACAATGATTAAGGATTCATGTTGTCTGGCTGTAGCGTACTGCAAAGCAGGAGGGTTTAACTATCTAAACATGCAGCTCACCATTGTTGACTTCTCAATCAAGGAAGATGGTTGGAATACTTTCCTGAGGTCAACCTTAAATAACCCATCCCCTCGCTCGGATCAGGCGACTCCTGGAGTATGTGTTTTAGAGCCACCCAATCTTGATGAGCCCCAGCCACAGAGTTCTTAACATGAGACCCAGATGGTGGCCTTTTATGGAAGGAGCCGTCAGCTGGCAGCTGCTCCCTTTACAATCCTTCAAGCTAAGATCGTCTCGACTGGGCAGCACGGTAAATCAATTCTGGGGGCCCAAACATTTACTAAGAGAGCTTGAGAAGATTTCAACTTCTTTCAGGCAAAAAATACAATAAGGCGAAAAGAAATAAACAAAATGAAAGTCGTGAGTGCTCCTTCTGGGTGACAGGAGGTCAGCCGAGATCTCGACACCAACAGAATGTGAACTTGGCCTCTCACATTTTATGCCTCAAGTCATACTTTCCCCCTCAGTCAACCCCGCAGAACATGCTTTCACTCTGCAATGTGACTGTGAGGGTTCATGCCTGTGGAACATGCAGGGGGTCTGGCTCCCTGAGAAAACCAGCCCATTTTACCCCTGCAAAGAAATTCTGGAAGAATGTGGTACGTGGAGTTTTTACTCGAGGCCCCTAGAACCAGGCTAACTGGGTGCAAATCCCAGCTTTGCCATTTGCAGTTGAATTGGGCAAGTGATGTACCCTCTCTGTGCCTCGGTTTCCTCAGGCGTTAAACGGGAATCGTAGTAGTAGTATCTAGCTCATAGGGATGTTGTGAAGATTACATAAATTATTATTGCAAAGCATTTCAACATGGCCTGGCATGTTGTCAGTGATTGCTGGCTAATACTGTTATTAACAGAATCACATATACCAATCCCTCATAGACATACCTCTGTGGGATTATATTTTAGCTTTGATCTTTGCCTTTGACATTGCCCAGTGGAATAGTGTTTCTATATGAATCCCCAGAAAATAAATGATCTAGGTCTCAATCTCCACTTTATTTGCATGTGGTTACAATTTATAAATACACTTGCCATTTTACTTCCCCTCTGAAACTTTCCTTTTACCTACTAACCCTACCCAAACCCCCAGTTTTTAATGACTCCCTTTCTTCTCCAGAGGAGAGGGGTGATGGTCCATGTAACTCCATATTCATATAGGGTCTACCTCAGTCCATGCGAAGTGCAGGTCCTCAAGGGGCCTCTGAAGCTTGGGATGAGTGCCACGAATCTGTCAGAGGTTCCGTGACGTCCTCGCAAGTGACCATGTGGCTGGCTTCCTTCTATGCATGCTTTGGGTGCACAGCGCCACGGTGGGCAGCAGCAGGCATCATATGCTCTGTCTGCCTGAAGCTGAGCTGGTGCAGCTCCAGTGTCCAGGGGATCTGCAATGAAGTCTCAGGCCTGTTCAGGCAGTAGTGAGAGTCCTGTGGCAGGCACCGTACCCAGCCAGTGCCCGGTCCTGCTCTCGGAGGTGTCTGAGGCCTGGCCCCTTAGGGCTTGCCTCTCAGGGGCCCTACCCAGGCCCGCTGTCAATCCTGTGTGGGCAGGGAAGCCTCGGGGAGAAGGTGCTCTGGTGCCTCCCTTCTCCTGGCTTCTTCCAGACACCGTGAGGCATGGGTGACAGATTGGGTCCTTTGTCCTGTTAGAGGTCATGGCATCCCAGTGTCTCTGTCTCGGCCAGGTGCCAAGCTTTGCCATCTTCCTGGTAGGGTGTAGAGAGCCCGGGAGGACCAGGGGCACCCTCTTCGGGAATGGGGTATGGAGGCTCCGGTGGTGCAGGAGGGTCTCCAGGACCTCGTGCTCCCCCCAGTACGAGTCCATTGTAGATGTAGATATTGCCAGTGACAGTCACAGTCCCGCCTTTGCCGACAACAATGCCATTGGTACCTGTGGGAAGGGAGGCAGAGTGAGCGGGGCTGAGGGGCACTGTGGGGGAAGGAAGGCCTGTGTGCCCCCTGCATTGGTGCCCCTACATCCTGAATGCCCTCACTCTTCTGCCTTCTCCATTTCCTCTCTGGTCTCACTCCCATTTGCTATTGGTTTCTTGAGCCCTGCATTCATTTCTGTTTCTGGGTTTTTCAGACTCTTCCTTTCTCTCTAGCTGGGACATTCTGGCTGGCTCTCAGTCTTTGTCTTGCCTCGCACTTTCTCTCCCTGCCCACCATCCTTCCCACCGCACCTCCTCACCCCTCCCCTCCCTGCAGCCTGCTTACCATGGGTCACCTGGCCTTGCTCTGGGAGCTCAGCCTCCAGCTCCCGGGCTTGGCTCAGAGGACTCTGCTGTTGTAGCACCTCTTGCTCCACAACTGGGGGTGTTGGGGGCCTGGCTGAGTCCAGGGGCAAGTCTCTAGGAATGGGCAGAAGTGGCTTTACCAGGTCAGGGATATGTGGGTTGATGCTTGGAGGCTGCCAGTTTCCATCAGCAATATTGGATTCCTCTCCCTGCAGGAGGGAAGCAGAGAATCAACCAATGATGTGGGCCTCAGACCCCCATCTTTCTTTAATTCCCACATCCCAACCCAGCTTAGGCAGCCCGGACCCTCCTCTGCTCCTCCTCAAGCTCCCTGCCACAGGCCTTTGCACTTGACATTCTTGCCTCTTGGAGCATTTCCCCAGGCATCCCGATGCCTTGTTTCTTCAGCTCTCTGATCAAAGATTGGCTCACCAGAGAGGCCCTCTGTCCACTGTCTAAGGTAATATACCCCCATCCTCTGCCACTGTCGTCCATTGTTCCCCTATCCTGCTTTATTTGTCCGTTATCAGGACCTGATACATACTTATTTACTCTTGCTCCACTGGTATGTTACTCCAGGAGGGGAGTTATTTTGTTCACTCACTGCTATATCCACGTGCCTAGAACAGTGCTGGGCAGATGGCGTGCTCAAAAGTTATTCATTGAATGAGTGAATGTTGAGGCCTGCATGCTCTTTTCCTGCCTACCCCCACATTGTTCACTCTCACTTCCTGCCCCTCCTTGCTGCCTTCTCAGCTTCCCTCATTACCTCTGGACGGCTCTTGAGCAGGGATCCTGCAATGAAAATAAAATGGATGTAGGGCCTCTGGCAGACCTCAGACCCCAGGCTTTCACTGTCCACACCCCACCACGAGGTGTTGCTGCCCACCCTGGGGTCCCGGAAGGAATAGGCTATCATGACCCTTCTCTCTAGGCTCAGAATGGGGGATGGGCAGAGGGGGGAGGGCTAAAGGGAGACTATGTCTATGTTGGGAGCAGGCACTGGGAGTCTTGGGCATGTAGAAGGGTTGTATGGGGAAGATGAAAATTCCCTCCCACCCCCTCCCGCATCCAGGTCGGGACTGACAACCACATCCTTGCCTGCATCCAGCCCTTCCCACCCTACCCAGCTTTCTGCAGAGAGACGGGTGGCTCTTCCAGGTGCAGGCGAGGATGGCGGAGAGGAACAGCAGGGAGACCAGGGGCAGCAGGATGGCCAGCACCAGCATAGTTCCTGCCAGGACAGCAGACAGCAGGCGGCATGATGTGGGGAGAAGGGCAGAGGGGAAGGAAGTTCATGAATAGCTTTTCAATTCTCCGGGCAACCCAGACAAAAAATAAGTTCCTAAAGGCAGAATTAGAGACAGACACTTCCCTGGGTGGCAGAGAAAGGGAACTCAGTTGGACTTGGGGGGACCTCCAGATAGCCAGGAGAAAGTGTGGGAGGTGGAGATGTTTGGGGTTGTGCAGGTCCCAGCGGCCTGAGGCAGTTGATTTTCAAGGGCTGGAAGTGGTGGTGAGAGGCAGTACAGGGAGGGCGGGGCTTAGGGCTATAAGCAGACTCAGGCCACAGGGTAGACTGTCTTACAGAGAGGCCACCGCAGGAACCGAGAGTGTCCCTCTATACCTGTGGGGTGTTCACAGAGGTGGGAGAGTGGGGAGCCTCGCTTCTGAATTCTGCCTGAGGTTGCCTGAAAGACTAGAGGTTGCAAAGTCTCCACCCGCTTGCAGCTTCCAGGACGTTATGGGAACAGGAGGCTGGGTGCTCAGTTTCCCAGGACCCGATGTAGGGCAGTGGATAGCTTCTGTCTTTCTATGGGCCTCAGTGCTGCCATCCACAGCCTGGAGTCTGTGGTGCCCATCAACCACACCTGAGGAGGGTCAGGAAGGCTTGGACATTTGCACCTGGCAGGTGGCTCTCTCCAGTCCACCTGGATCTGTGGCTGAAGGGAGTACAGGAGGGAAGCATGGGAAGAAACTAGACCTGGAGTCTTGGACACCTGGCTGCCCAGCTGTATGACTTTTTAAGTCAGTCCACCTCTCTGAGCATCAATTTTTTTTCATATATAAAATAAGGTGGATTCGACTCTAAAATGCCAATCATATTTGATACACAGTTAAAAATTAATAAGAGGACATGGAAAATATTTATGACATAGTTGAATGAAAAGTCAGGTTACAAAATACTCAAATGACTCCACTTTTAGAAAAAAAATTATCCATATAAACATACATAGAAAAAATGTTTGGGAAGATACATAAAAAAATGTTAAAGAGTGGATATTCTAGGTCAGTGGTCGGCAAACTCATTAGTCAACAGAGCCAAATATCAACAGTGCTTCTTCAAAATAGACTCGCCCAGGCCGAAAACCGACTTCTGCGCATGGGCCAGGAAGTTTCAATCGCACTGTACGTGTGCGCCCGCACGTGGTATTTTGTCGAAGAGCCACACTCAAGGGGCCAAAGAGCCGCATGTGGCTTGCGAGCTGCAGTTTGACGACCACGGTTCTAGGTGATGGTTCTGTGGGTGATGATTAATTTTTATGTGTCTGAATTTTATAATTTTTTATAGTGTGCATGCATCAAAAAGTAAATGACCCAAGTACAGGTCTTCATAACACCAGTTACCACATGGGTGATCTTGGGCAAGTCACACAACATCTGAGCCTCGTTTTCCTTATCCTGTCAGTGAGGCTGATAATAGAACTACTTGATAGGATCAATACGAGGATTAAAATAACTAGTGAATGTTAAATATTTGAAGAGTGCCTGACACACTTGCTCTGAGTAAACGGAAGCTAAGATTATAAATATTTGCTAATTTTAAAAAGCTAATAAAATAAACTCTT